CTGTCCCTGGATACAGTTATTTTAATCAAGTGGAAAAGTATGCATAATGCATTCAATTTAATCAGTTTTTCCCCTACTATTCTTTGCATTATAGAAAACTTGAAAATGTACAAGAAATTTGCAGATACAAATTGTCAAACACATACCTTTTCAGCTGAGGCTCCAGTTAAAACAAATGTAGAAAATACAGGGAGAGGGTATTTGCTATTTGATGGCCAACATTCAATGGTTGCTCCCATTGGTAAACAAAATAGAGGAACGGATTCTGGTAGTGAGAATGACTCATAATCTTCTTGAGGATATCTACAAATTAGGCCTATAAAAACAACAATAAATATTAAGTCATCATCTCTTGAATTTAGGTACTTACTAGTTCAATGATGATAAAATGCTTTGTTATTTCACACATTTGGAATGCCAAAGCATGACATGTATGTAATAACAGTGAATACTTTGGTAGGATTCATAGAGATTTTAATCCTTGAACATTGTAACTATTAACTAACTGCTTAATATTTATCAAGCTTCATCCATAAAGGCTATGTTAAAGCTAACAAGAAAAAGATATCCTACAGAAATGCACAAACATACTCCTAAAAATTCAGTTTGTGGCCACACTACCTTAGAAAGCATACTAAGCTTTTGAAATTTTCAATATGGTTTATTTTCATCTATCTACTTCATCAGCTCTCAATAACTTTCCCTCAGGGGTGCTTTTACACATTAAAATTCATATCCCATAGGAGTATATGTTAACTTCTAGCACAAATACAGGAAAATTACTCATAAAAATAGAAGAGTCACATATTTACAATGTCTTAGCAATAGTACCAACTCAAGCTCAGCTTCTAAATAACACCAGATTATATGAAGATAGAGTTTTAAGTTGCCTATGATTTCACATTAGGAAAACGGTCCAGGCATCTTCCACTGAATACATTCCAGGAAGAACCTTGTACCTCATTTTGTGGAACTAGGAACAGAAAATAGGTTCCCTGGCCATAAAGCCCTTAAAGTCAACTAGATATTATCACTAGACAGCTACAAAGACAAAAAGATAAACTGAGGGATGTAAGTGGTTGTTGCTTCTGCCACTAATATCTCTGTGACTTTGGACAAACGACATACTACAGGAGTATGGTTTTCTCATCTATAAAATGAGATGAAGTAGATAAACTAAGGTCCAAGGCAGTTCTAAAATCATTTAATTACATGCTAGCCAGCAAGTAGGTCCCATGAGAATCTATAGTTAACTCTGTACTACTCTCTCAGGTCATGAGGTAATAATAAAGTCATAAAGTAAGTATAGAAACAGTGATGAAGGCTGGCTGGGCACAGTGGCTCACACCTGTAATCCTAGTACTTTGGGAGGCTGAGGCGGGCAGATTGCCTGAACTCAGGAGTTTGAGACCAGCCTGGGTAACACGGTGAAACCCTATCTCTACTAAAATACAAAAAATTAGCCAGGCATGGCGGCATGCGCCTGTAGTCCCAGCTACTCGGGATGAGGCAGTAGAATTGCTTGAACCAGGGAGGCGAAGGTTGCAGTGAGCCAAGATCATGCCATTGCACTCCAGCCTTTCAATGGTTGCATCCATTGGTAAACAAAATAGAAGAACGGATTCTGGTAGTGAGAAAGACTCATAATCTTCTTGAGGATATCTACAAATTAGGCCTAGGGCAACAGAGTGAGACTTTGTCTCCAAAAAAAAGAAAAGAAAAAGAAATACTGATGAAAGCCAGTACAGTGGCTCACGCCTGTAATCTCAGCACTTTGGGAGGCTGAAGTGGAAGGATCACTTGAGCCAAGGAGATCAAGAGCAACCTGGGCAATACAGCAAGACTCCATTTCTACTTAAAAAAAAAAAAATTAGCGAGGCATGGCGGCACATGCCACCATGTACTCTCAGTACTCTCAGCAACTTGGGAGGCTGGGAGGCTGATGTGGGAGGACTGCTTGAGCCCAGGAGTTCAAGGTTGCAGTGAGCTATGATCCCACCACTGCACTCTAGACTATGCAACAGAACAAAACCTTGTCTCAAAAAAATAAAAATAAAAAAAGGTGATAAATTGTAGATCCAAAAATATCAAAGGCCGGGTATGGGGGCCCTCACCTGTAATCCCATCACTTTGGGAGGCTGAGGCAAGAGGAGCGCTTAAACAGAGGAGTTTAAGACCAACCTGGGCAACATAAGCAAGATCCTGTCTCTACAAAAATTTAAAAAATTAGCCAGGCATGCTGGGATACGCCTATAGTCCAAGGTACTAGGGAGACTGAGGCAAGTGGATACCTTGAGCCCAACAGTCTGAGGTTGCAGTCAGCTACAATCATGCCACTGTACTCTAGCCTAGGCAACCGAATGAGACCCTGTCTCAAAAAAAAAAAAAAAAAAAATCAAATGTAAAAGAGAAACTTGAGTCTAGAACTCTAAACACAAGCATGTATACACATGTATATGTATATATGTATATATTTTTAAAGATGGGGTCTATGTTGCCCAGGCTGGTCTTGAACTCCTGGGCTCAAGCAATTCTCCTGCCTCAGCCTCCCAACAAGCTGGAACTACAGGCACATGCCACCATGCCCTGCATAAAAGCAATTTTTAAAAGGCTGAATCTGTTCTCTTGTAAATAAGATCACTATGTTTGATATTTTGGGGTCTCTGAAAATTGGACATTTTGACTATGCATTATAAAACTTCAAATTGGTTTGTAATATTTTTCATTATTATGAAACATGATTTCATGTGAACTACAGCTCTTACTAAATTTAAGTATTAAAGAAATATTAATCTAAAATTAAAATACATTTTCCCATATTTCTGCTGATTTAAAAACTTAAAGATAATTGAGATATCCTTATTATTTATTTAAACCCAAGGCTTAAAAGCCCGCTTTAGTTTAAAATTAATCTTTCATCAAGCATCCAATAAACATATGAGTGAAGACAAAAATGAGAATCGAAAGATATGGATTGTAGTCCCAGTTCTGATCCTAACACATCCTAGGCAGGTTTTTTTCTTTTCTTTAACCTTTCTGGGCCCTGTAATACACAGACATATGAAGTATTCCATGAAAAATTACACTTACCAGCTTTGTAAGATATAGTGTTCGTCTTTGCCACTGATTTTTTATAACACAAGTATACCGCTGATCCCCACTGGATTTAAAAAAAAAAGACATATTTAATTTTTAAAAGGTAGGAACCTGATAAAAAGGAATCTCTTTGAGCTCTCTAGTATGCCTTATCTAAGATATAGTAACAAATTTCTCTCTGCTAGCTATTTTCAGTTGGCTGTTTTGTCAACATTTTATTGGGATCACTGTCCACTTTTCTTTCAGAAGTAAATTGTAACTTTTTTTTCCCTTGCAACAGCAATAACATGAAGAAAACTTGACTCTTTTAAACAAAGCTAAGCCACAACCATTTAGATTTTATTCTAAGTCCAAACTGTGGGTATAAATGATAAACTACGAAATATCAACTCAAGTGCATACCTTCGACTCCACAATCTGTTTCAGATATTGCTAGGTTTTTCTGCAACCCTTTATGCCTCAAGAGTTGTAATTTGTTAAATCCACTTCCTTATTTCCTACTTTCTCCAAAATTCATTTCCAAATCAGACTTTAATCACCACTCCTTAAAAGAATAACTTAACTTCCAATTTTTTTTTTTTTAACAGAGTCTCGCGCTGTCACTCAGGCTGGAGTACAGTGGTGCGATCTTGGCTCACTGCAACCTCCACCTCCTGGATTCAAGTGATTCTCATGCCTCAGCCTCCCAAGTAGCTGGGATTACAGGCGCGTGCCCCCATGACTGGCTGATTTTTTTTTTTTTTTTTTGAGATGGATCGCAGTGGTGCAATCTCGGCTCACTGCTACATCCGTCTCCCTGGTTCAAGTTATTCTCCTGCCTCAGCCTCCAGGAGTAGCTAGGATTACAGGAGTGCACCACCATGCCCAGCTAATTTTTGTATTTTTAGTAGAGACAGGGTTTCACCATGTTGGCCATCGTGTTGGCCAGGCTGGTCTCGAACTCCTGATCTCAGGTAATCCATCCACTTCGGCTTCCCAAAGTGTTGGGATTACAGGTGTGAGCCACCATGCCCAGCCTCTTTTTATTCTTATTTATCATTACATGCTATATTTGCTTGTTAATGTCTTTCTGACTTGAATATATGCTCAATGAGGGTACGGATTTTGTTTTCTTCACCACTATATTCCCACAGGCTCACACATAGTAGTTCAGTAAGTATTACTAAATAACTATATACATAATTTATTTAAAAGTTTTAAAATAAGGGTAAAATAGTTTTATGAAACATATTCTTTACACAATCCATGCAAATGAAGAAGTGTAATGTCACTGATAATTAAAAGTATATAATAAAAATTTTTATTATTACTATTTAATGTGATTTGTACAACTCTACCCCTACTACCCTGGATTGCAATAATCTCCCAAACGGTCTTCCTCCTTCCACCTTTGCTTCCCGCCACAGTCTATCACTACATAAATGAGTGATCTTTTTAAATCAAATGTCAGAGCATGTCACTGTTCTGTTCAAAATCTCAGTCTCTCTCAGAATAAAAGCCAAAGTCCTTACAATCACCTAAAGGCCCTGATCATCTACCCCCAATTCCAATCTCTTTATGCTCCTCATAATTTATTCTGCTTTAAGACACACCATTGTCCTTATTGTTCCCAAAACATGCCAGGAATGCTCCCTCCTTGAGGCCCTTTGCACAGACTGTTCCCTATATTTCAAACATTCTTTGCCTGTGATATCTGAATGATTAACTACCTGCCTTCAAATATTACTTTCAAATAAGGGCTTCCCTGACCACTCAATTTAAAATTGCAAGTCATTTCCCACTACTCCCAATCCCCTTTTATGCTACTGTAGGTTTTCTTTTTCACTACAGTACTTACCACTTTCTAACATATTATACTTTAAAAGTTATTTGTTTAAAATTTATTATCATCTATTTTCATCTACTCTGATAAGTTCTATATTCTGTTATCATTAATACCTAAAACAGTGCCTGGTGTATTATAGGTGCTGCATAAAGTATTTGCTGAATGAACTAATCTTGGAGCAGAGGTTTCTAGGTAGAAGGAATGTCAAGAGGAAAGGCCCTGATACGGAAGTATGCCCATCATGACCTAAGAGCTAAAGAGGCAATGACAGCAGAGAAGAGTAAATGAGCTACTGATGGGAGATAAGGAAGCCAGATCATATGGGTCCTTTTAGGCTGTTTTAAGGATTTTGGCTTTTATTACTCTTGGAGATAGTGAAAGCCACTGGAGGGTTTTGAGTAGAAGACAGGCATTATTTGATTTACAGTCAAAAGGTCACTCTGAGTACTATGTTGAGAAGTGGGGGTAGGAGACAAGGAAGAAAGCAAGTACTCATAATTATTTTGGATCAGTAATCCAGGCAAAAATCATGAGAGTTTGAATATGGGTAGCAACAGTGGGAATGATGAAAAGAGGTCAGATTCTGGGCATATTCTGAAAATAGAGACCAAAAAAATACCCTATTTGATTATATGATGTACAGTGTAAGAGTCAAAGACGATGCCAATGCCTGAGTAAAAGAAAGGAAGAAGCTCAATTGAGATGGAGAAGACTGTGGATAAAGCAGATTTGGGGTGAAGATAAGGGGTTCAGTTTTAGACATGTTAAGTTTGAAACATCTATTAGACATCCAAGTGAAGAACTAAATAGAGCTAAGGTGAGTGGTCTGAAATGGACACACAAACTTGAGAGATGTCACCACTTGAGGTATAGGTAATGAGAGATACATTTACGTGGCACACTTCCTCACCTCGTGGGGAGTAAACTCAAATATCACCTTATCAGAGAGTCTTCCTTTCACCATTTTACATACAATAACAAGGCTCCCTCCACCCTGCCTAGTTCTCCCTATCACCCCTCTCTTGCATTTTTTTTCCTCCTTAGCATGTATCGCCATTTGGCATATTATACATTTTCTTAACTATTATCTAAATATAACAAAGTTTACTTACATAAGACTAAGTAAACATTAATGGGTAGCTCTGAGAGACTCAAAGTATAAGCTTTTAGTGTCTGAACTTTGTATCTATTTTGGATGTACAGAAGCCTTTTTGTTGGCTTGTTTCTTGTGTAATCCTTTCAAGAATGAAGTAAGAATTGTACTTACTAGAGTTATTTCTGAATAAAAAATGCATTATATACCTGTCAAAGGCCAGGTGACAAGTAGATACTTAAAGGTCAGGACTAAAACTTTGGAAAAATCATCAGTATTACAGAAAACAGAGACAAGTTACATAAGTATTTTCATGTAAGAAGCCAAGTGTCTGAATATAAATTATTTTCCAACTTTGGTTTCTCTGATATTTAGTTCACACTCACTTAATAAAGTTCTCATTTATACATACTTAAAAATCTGATGAATAACAATCAGAGAAGATATCATAAATTGCATTATACAATCACTTAAAAACATTTTATCATGAAATGACAATCTGCTGAGTATTCAAAAACCTAACAAATCTTTGCTTTTCAACTTTAAGTATCTGTCAGCCTTCCAAATGATGAATAGCTAATAGCTAAATGTGGTCAAACTAAAGTGAAAGAGAACAATACTAAAATATCTCTCTTATTTAAAACACACAACACACATAAAATAATACGTTTGGCTATCTAAATATCTTACTAAAAAACAAAAACCCTTAATCTTTTATTTTAATATAGTTTAATGAATTATGTTGAGATTACAGCCTTGGGAAATTTTCTCTTGATGGAAAAATATTAAAGCATTTATAAAAATAAAATTCCAACACAGCAACGAACATAAGCAACATTTAACACATTAATCTACTGGAAAAATATTTTTTAAGTCACATGAATATGTAAAAGTCAAGTAGATATTATGAATATAGGCAAACAAATTTTGGTTTATCAAATGGGTAAAAAAAATTTATAAAAATGGGTTCTCCATTGGAAAGTCCCAACTCTACTTCCCAATAAATCCAATTTGAAAAGATAGCAAGAAAATTTCAATAATAACTTTAGTGACAACAAAAAGAGAACTATATGACCATTTGGATATAGTAGAAACCAGAGGGAATATTCTAAAATGAAAAACAAGGAATTAAAAATACAGTATAAGTTACGGGGCTCTGTAGGAAAGAGAACCACGGATATTAAAATTAAGAGCGGGGCCAGGCATGGTGGCTCATGCCTGTAATTCCAGCACTTTGGAAGGCCGAGGTGGGTGGATCACCCGAGGTCTGGTGTTTGAGACTGGCCTGGCCAACATGGTAAAACCCCGTCTCTACTAAAAAAAAAAAAAAAAATACAAAAATTAGCCGCGTGCGGTGGCAGGCACCCTTAATCCCAGCTACTCAGGAGGCTGAGGCAGGAGAATCCCTTGAACCTGGGAGGCGGAGGTTGAGGTGTGCAGAGATCATACCATTGCACTCCAGCCTGGGTGACAAGAGTGAAACTCCGTCTCAAAAAAAAAAAAGAAATAAAGAAAAGAATTAAAAGCATTTTCCAAATTTTTTTACACACAAGGTTCAGGGTGAAAAAGAAAAAGGAGTCATTGTTCTAAAACTACTTTAAACTCTCTACCAATAAGTATCCACATTGTAGTTTGCCACAGCAAAAACATACTTTCAAATTCCTCCTCTTTCCCACAGAATTAGGTACATGATTTAATCACTTGCTTTGTTAACAGTTCTACTTTTTTTCTTTTTCTTTTTTTTTTTTTTTGAGACAGAGTCTCGTTCTGTCGCCCAGACTGGAGTGCAGTGGTATGATCTCGGCTCACTGCAACCTCTGCCTCCCAGGTTCAAGCAATTCTCCTGCCTCAGCCTCCCAAGTATCTGGGATTACAGGCGTGCACGCCGAGGCCTGGCTAATTTTTGTATTTTAGTAGACAGGGTTTCAGCATGCTGGTCAGGCTGGTCACAAACTCCTGACCTCAAGTGATCCAACTGCCTCAAGTCTCCCAAAGTGTTGGGATTACACGTCATAGCGCCCAGCTCAATTCTACTTTTCTAAGTAAACTCACTAAATCAAATGCTGACATTCTTGGACAGTTGTAAAACAAGAGCCATGTGGAAACAGTATTTAAAAAACACCCGTAAGGAGACTCGGCCAGGTGC